GGGGTCCTCGTGCGTCCACGTCGCAGGTCACCGCCCAGCCACAGGGGACACTTGTGCGTCCACGTCCGCATGTCACCGCCCAGCCACGGGGGCACTTGTGCGTCCACGTCGCAGGTCACCGCCCAGCCACGGGGGTCCTCGTGCGTCCACGTCGCAGGTCACCGCCCAGCCACAGGGGACACTCGTGTATCCACGACTGCAGTGCAAAGGCCTTGCTCAGGGGAAGCACACGGGCAGGACGCCACACAGATTAAGCTGTCAGCTCAATGTGCTTGTCCCAAAGCAGCAGTGGGGCCTGGCACTCGCCAGCAGGTGACCTGGAGCGGGGAACGTCTGCAGCCCTCTGGGACTCAAGTCCCTGCCCTGCACCCCCGCGTGGCTGCAGGCAGATTAAGCAGCCTCTTTTTGAGTCCAGGCGAGGGGCCTCAGGGAAGTCTGAGTGACGGCTGACAACACCCTACTGCCCTCAGAGGGGACCCTGCTGACCCCCCACCTGACCGAGCAGCCACTGCAGGACCCAGCCCGGGCCATCCAGTCACTGCACCATGTCCTGAGCCCGGGAGGAGCCTGTGGCTCTGGGGCCTGCCTGGCTCCTGCTCCCACTCGTCGGGGTCCCCTCTCTCCCGCCGATGGCTGTTCAGGAGCCTCGAGGCCTCTGTGGAGACCCACTCCCTGTCTAGCTCTTGCCACCTGCACCAATGACCATGCACAGGAGGCCGCTGGGCCCAAGACAGAGCTGCCAGGCCAGGTGGAGAGCTCCAGTCACTGTGGGGCTTGTCACTTGGAGAGGCCACTGGCTCTTCCTCCTCTTGGCACAGCCCTGTCACGCTCCAGTGAACCTCGGGGGCTGACTTCCGAGACGGTCCCTGGCACTGGCTCAGCGACCACGCAGGCCACGTGGGGCCTGACCTCCCTGTGTGAGGACCCCACGACCCCTCTGTGTGAGGACCCCGCGGCCCCCCTGTGTGAGGACCCCGCGGCTGCTGTGCCCATCGGCTCCGCCCTGTGATTTCTGAGAGCTCAACTCGGCAGGCTGCTTCCTCTCGTCTGAAGAGGGACGAAGCGTTCCCTAGGCAGCCTCTGGGTCCTCCTCATCCAGTCATCAAGCTCAGCAGATTCCTGGCTGCCATGACCATCCATATCCAAGGAGCATCCACCCGAAAGGGGCCGGCAGGAGCCACAGGCAGCCGACCCGGGATCACAGAGGCTGGAAAGCAGCGAGGGCTTCCTGAAGGAGAAGGCATGCGGCCGACAGGCGGGGAACACTCCAACAGCTGGAGAGCAGCCCGGGGCAGGTGACTCCACCCAACCCTCCAGGCTCACGCAGGCATCCCAGGGAGGAAAAGAAATGAAACATCCCGTGCGCCTGAAACTGCGGCCTGGGGGCTGTGCGGCACCCGAGCTCTCGTTGGGTTAGGATTTCGTCAGCTGCTGGGCTGTTCCTCTCCTTCCTGGAGGCTCCTTTGTGGTTCAGGCAGGAGCTTTCATCATCCAACAGGCCCCTGGGGCAGACAGGCAGCTCCTCCGCCAGGGCTCCTATGTGTAACGACGTGACCCCTCCAAGGACGACGTGGCAAGAGGCAGCCGGGGGCGGTGGTGGCGGATGCTGGGGGCCGTGGGGGCTGTGACGCGAGGGACAGTGACAGGCCTCTGGAGTCTGATGCTGCAAGACACTTGCAGCTGCGGGCCCAGCCTGGTGACCTGAGATCCTGCTGGCAAGGTCATGCTGGCCTGCACAGGGACGCTGGAGACACCTGAACACACCCAGAATCAGCTTCCGTTTCCCACCCAAGACGCCTTCCTCGTTGGAAACTTGTGGCCACGTCCCTTGGAACCAAGGCCGGGAAGTGGGTGGAGCAGGATGCCCGGGCAGGCATGGACAGACACTCACCACTTGCCGATGATCTTGCTGACGTAGCCGGCCTTCTTCAGAAGCTCCGGGAGGAGCTGCTCCGAGTCTGGGATACCGCCCACAATTTCCTGCGGCGTGTAGGCTGGAAGAGCAGCGCTGGGTGAGCCCCGAGGAGACCCCGAGAAGCTGCCACCACCCCCATCCTAACAGGACACTGGGGGCTGCATCCACACATCCTAATAGAACACTGGCCCCTCAGGGTCAAAGACTGGGCCTGGGGACTCTGCATCTACAGGGCATGGAACTTCCCAGATTTTTCCAGGCACCCCTCAGAGCCAGTGCCATCACCAGAGGGCGGGCACGGAGCAGACTCTGTGCCCCCCGGCGCCTTCCCTGGGCCTCCTGCCTGCCCTCAGGCCCTATCCTGCCTCTTAGGCCAGCCTCCCGCCTGCATGATCTCCAGGGGTCTCTGGAATATGCCACATGACGCTTCACTGCCCCACCCCTGCCTCCCCTGTCCTTCCCTTTCCTCAAAGGCCACTGGAAATCCCACTTCCCCTATGAGATGCCCCTGGGGAGCCCATCCAAACCCGAACACAGCAATTCCAGAACATTCCAGAACTGCTGCTGACACCACAGCCCCAGTTTCTCTGTAAGTGTGCGGCTCACCTGCCTGGAGAGTGGGAGCTTCTGGGGTGGGGGTGCCGGCCCAGCTCCTTAGGCCAGACTGGGCACCCTCTGCTCCGTCCCCACTGGGCCGGGGCAGGGAAGGAAACCAGCTAGGGGGAGCCCTCATTTCCACCTGAGTCCCAGAGACCCGGGCACCACCCGGACCCCACCTGCCCAACCCTGTACCCCAAGGTGGACCCTGGAGGCGGCGGCAGGCAGCCTACCGTTTCTGGCATGGGCGTTGGTGGTGTAGAAGCCATTGCGGATGGGCAGCCGTCCCGTGAGCAGTGCCGCCCTGGCTATGAGGAGGTGACAGAAACAGAAACTGGATGAGAAGGGTGCAGCTCAGGCCGGGCGCGGTGGCTCAAGCCTGTAATCCCAGCACTTTGGGAGGCCGAGACGGGTGGATCACGAGGTCAGGAGATCAAGACCATCCTGGCTAACAC